AGGAAGCACTGGCATACCCACTGTGCAGCAGCTGACCTCTGCCAACGTCCTTCCTATATTGAAATGTGGGGTGAGAATTGCTTCTCCCCGACCTTGCCTTCCCTTTTTTTTCCTATTAGCTGATCCCTGCCTAAGTAACCTACCCCCCCTCAAAAATTAGTACAACCACCATGACATTTGCTGCCATCACATAGTTCACTCTGCTTGTGTGTTCTACCCTTTCCAACACCCTGCGTCTTGCTTGTCTATTTAGACTGTGAGCATTCTGGGCAGAGATCATCTACTGCTCTGTGTTTTTACAGCACCCAGCACAATGGGGCCTTACTTTTGGATGGCCCTTAGGCATGACCATAATAATAAAGAATAGCAGGGGAAAGGATTGCAACACTGCGATAATGCCACAAAAATTTAGAAGAATTGAGGAGTATGATAAGGTATGATCATAAAGCCTCTTTGATGCTGAGAATTACATTAGATTATGAGCGAGAATACCCTTTTAGACCTGCCAAGCAGATCTCTGCTTTGATATTCTGCTCTTTTTAGATGTCCAGAACGTGTGGCCCCATATTGGGCACTCATTGTGACCTATCAAAGGTTAAAGTGTCATGGGTCTAATTAGTCACTATTTCAAAGTTGTTTCATGATTGTTTCTATTGAAGTCATGTGTAATAAGCCTAGATGAGAATTGCACATGGCACATATTCCCTTAAAATGGAAGATGAATGATCACCAAAAGAACAGCAAGAAATTCTAGTAACATCATAAGGGACAATACCAGATCCAGATGAGATGGAGGGAAATGTGGACTCCTCTGGCCATTGCTAAGACCTGCATTGATGGGAAGCCATGTCCAATCTTCTTTGGTTGCTAGGATGGTTGCTGTGGTGATAGGAGCTATGAAGAGAAAATAAAAATGAGGGCCAGAGTAAAAGTGCCAGTGGATTGTTAATGGGGTGGATAGCATTTCACCTAGGTCATCAAATTCTGCCCACGTGTTTAGTGATCAGGAATTATCATCTGAAAGGTGTTTGGAGGCCTAGTCACAGTGTGTTGGAGGTTGCATCCAATTCTTAGCAGAGAAGTGGCTGCTTAGAAACATGTCAAAAACCCACCACAATTAGTACTAATTGGCACCTGTCGTGATATCAGGAAAGAGGCCAAGGCGTTCAGGCTTAGATTTACAGACTAGTCTTAGCCAGACCTCCATTTTGTGGGTGACCTAACTAGTGGGTGCAAATAACTGCATTGCTAAAATGGAGCCCAATGTGTGAAAATTTGGCTCTAAATGTACTTGGTAACTGGATAATCCTCTAATGTCTAGAAGTAAAAATTTAGGCATATTCAATGATAATGTCTCTGTTGGCACTGAACCTATTTGATGAAAAGTGGACTACGGGAATGCAAATCCAGCACCTTTGTGCAGCAATACATTTACTTAAAACATACTGCCACTTATGCAATGAGAAGCTTTGGTAAGGCATGCTCTGTTTTCCAGAGATGCTGAGCTGTCTACAGCTTCAATGAAATCAGAGAGAGTTGCAGGAACTCAGGAGCTTTGAAAATAAACCTCTCGTTTTCACCATAAAAAAGTATTTCTTCTTCTTTTACATTCTTTCTCAGTCTCATCTATAGTGTTGTCTCTGAACTGGGTATATTTAATGCTGTAAATTAATCATCCTATAGTTTACTTTTTCATTAGCTTCTGTACTTTATAATCTGACATTCCAGTAGGCAATGTAATGTTTAGTTTTTCTGAAATACTGTATGTTAATTTTTATTTTTGTACTATAAGAGAAGCTCATTCTGAACAAAACTAATCCTCCTCAATATACAAGTGTTCGGGTGACTGTATGGAATGTATCACAGAATAACTAAAGTCAATCTGAAAGTACACTTACTATTATGAGCACAATTACTGTCCAGTTCTAATTCCAGGAATGAATACAACCCTAACTGAATAAGTGATTACTTTGTATCAGCATAAAAAGAAAAATGGCATCACTTCCTCAGCTCAGAAAATTGCCTTTACTTTTCATCTAAAATATTATTAGTAAAACAGATAAAGACAATTTTTTTAACATATGATTTTCAGGCTGACAGTAAAGACACCATCACTCCCACTCATAAATAAGAAGCTTGGGGTGACCAAGGCTCTTATACTGTATATGGAGGGGGGGATTTCACTAAGTACAACTTCAGTTTATAAAGTGAGATATTAATACCAGCTATTGCAGGATCAGGAAATCTACCCATACAGGTCATATACAGGATGATTTTCCATGCCCACCTCCGTAATACTGAATGAATTTGTGTCCTTGAGGTAATGATATTAGCATAATTTGGTGCAAAGCGTTAATCATGTATGGCATCACTGTTATAGTTGGGTGTCCTAATTCACTACCTTAAGCAGTATACAAGGTTGTCTAGTTCAAGTCCTCGACTCCTGTGTATTTGAATTTCTGTGTGTGTTGTAAGCTTGCTCCCCAAACTCCCTGTTAGCTTTGAGTAGCCCTTTGCCATTGTTCTTTGTCAAATTTATGGAATTATCTAGGAGCACAGCCTGAAAGTGAGAACAGCCATATTTCTGAAAGAACTCGTCAGACATGCCATTTTGTGCCTGATTTTCAAAAGGGTGCTGGAAGTTAAATATGCTTTTGCACAGGCACCTCTGCTCCTGCAAATGCTTTCATACTTATTGCAAGGGTACACATGCAAAATGAACTTGCGCTCGGGCAAGCCATTGTTCCATGGCTACTGCATGGGTACCCGTGTGCATGCACACTTGTGGGGATGTGCATGCAAAAGCAGATATGCAGAGGTGTGCACAAAATTCATACTGGCCATGGCCTCTTGTTTTTAAAATCAGGCCCTTATCAGCTAAGGAAACTTCGGATATAATATTTAGAATGGGGGGCTGGGAGTTCAGGGTTCCTGAGTTCTGTCCTTGCCTCAGTCACTGACTCACCCGTGACTCTGGGCAAGTCACTTCATCTCTTTATTCCTCAGTTTCCCCACCTGAAAAACAGAGACAATGACACTTATCTCACAGCATGGTGTTGGGCTCTGTTAATGTTTGTTGTGCACTTTGGGATCCTCCAGAGAAATGTTCTGTGTAAATGCAAAGTATTATTAAAATGAGTTTTCAATGCATAAAGGCTACAGGGACATTAGTGGCCATTTTAAAGTGATTTTAACTAACAGCACAGCTGTAAAATGGATTTTATACCAATGCATTTCCAGGCACTTGGGATACCATCAGCATTAACAGATTTCCAATAACCGCTTTAGTGGTTGATAAATAGTGTTAATTCTTATTTCCCTCATAGAGAAAAGAAACCCAGCAATGAGTTAAGTGGCATTTTTGCTGAGTCAGTAATCCAAGTAGTTTAAATGTATATTTATTCTATGTCTGAAATAATGCAAACTATTCAGAATGCTATGAGAGCTATGAAAAACACAGGGCTTGGAAAACTGGCAGTTTTTGTGGTTTTGGGGTTTAGAGTAAAGTTTCACAACCAATCAGCCCAGAATAATGTCCGGTTAAGGCATTTCTGCTAGTTAGTCTATTTATTTATTTACTTTGGCACAGTGAGACAGGGCTGGAGATTTGGGGGAAGGTCAGTGAAAATACTCCAGTTCTGTCAAAGGGCCTGATCCTTTTAGCTTCCAGTGGAAGCTGAAAGGTGCTCAGCAACTTGCTGGAGGCGCTAGTCACTTGCTCAGGACTGAGGCTGAGGTCTGGGAATTATGACTTGCTTTTGAAGGCAGCACTAAGAGCCCAGTCGGCACCTAGAGAGTTCCAGAAGAATTGTGTAATGCTGACAGACTCCGGTCATCGGTGGGTGAGATCGAACCTGGGGCCTCTGGAGCTGAGTGCATGAGCCTTTCTCTCTCTAAGTGGTCTTGGTGCCACTAGATGGGACAGAACACCACACCCCAGAGGTGTGTGGATTACAATTGCACAGAAGTAAAGAAACAGTCAGTATTGGATCCCTTGGACATTTTACTTTGGCATCCTCTGAGTTGTGTGTGTCTCCTTCTCTGCTAGTGTCTCCGATCTCTTCTGCCTTGGTTGAGATCCACTCCTGCCTTGATATTATGCGGTTTTCCAACAATCCTTCCAGTCTCCGTTCCCAGTCTGTCCCAATGGGAATTTTTGAACCATTAACTCCTTTGTATTGCTTCCAGACAAATACTTTAAAGCAAGTATTGACCATTTTGTGCCCTGGTTCCCCCCAAACATGCTAATATAATCGAGAACATTGTGGATAAGAGTGTCCTTTTGGACCCAGGTCCAATACAAAAGCTGCATGTGTAGGAGGGACTGAGTAGTGGAGCTGAAGTCAGCCCAGTGGATCTGAGAAGAGAATTTTGCTTTTCGTGATGATCAACATGTTGTATGAATCATTAGGGGGTGCAATCTCCCTTTGTGCCATCTGAATAACTTCAGCTGATTTTCAGGGGACATCTGCCCAGGGATGGGGTGGAGAATAGACCCTAACGACATCTCTTCTCTTCCACTGATGCAAATAGGAATTTAAACTATGCCCGGCCAAATCTTGGTCTGTGAGCACTGCCTGCCTGCAGCTCTAGGCTGGGTTTGTCCAGTGCATCCCTGGCTGTCTGCTGCAGAGCCTGCAAAGGAGCTGTATTCGTGTGCAGAGTCCTTCTGTGTGGCCTGACTGTATTCTGCCCCATTGTATAGAGCAGGAACCAGATCTGTTCAGCCGCTTCCTGGGCCTATTGTGGGCCTTACATGGGCCAGAGAATTTGGCCCATATGAAGAGGAGAACAGGGCCCCCTAGGGCTGATGACTGAGTTCATGGCAATATGCAAACACTTGTGCTCCAACAAAGCGTTCTGCTGCACAGTGATGCTTTGCCGAAGGAATAAGGTTGTTCTCTCTAATAAATATAGACTGTGCTGAGGTTCCTTTTATTTCAATTACTGGCTATAGATACCCAAAGTATCAAGCTAAACTACTCTGTTTTGCTTCACAGGATTTTCGTCTGCTCTCCAAATTGCTGGTGATGTGGTGAGGTCCCTGTTCAATCAATAGTAACCTCTGGGAAATGTATAACTCTCTAACCTACATAGCGCAGCATAATCACACTAGCTCAAGGGATAGTTCTGGGAGTCTGCTTTGGTTAAGGCGACCTTCATACAGGTTTTAATCAGGTCCATGAAGCTCTAGGGTTTTGCTTCATTCGTTTTTTGTAACGTTTTGCAAACAAGTCTGCAAAGAAGGCATCAACAAGTTTGAACAACTCTGACAAGACAATATGTTCCCTTCCCCTCTTCGAGTTACTGTGTCCCTGGGCATGGGTCTGTTTAACCACACAACAAACATGTTTAGGGAGTGGTGTGGGACTCCTACCTGATTGTCCTGCTGCCGATCCTTTGTGGGTTAGTGGTGCATCCTGCATGACTGCATCCAGCTAGTAGCTGGAATCACGTCCCAGTGCTGACCCACGCGTTCCAGCCGCACAGGCACTGTGGGATTATGTCTGCCCCCATAAGGATTTTGTTTTCAGGCTCCATCAGGAAAGAAAGTCTCAAGCCTTTCAATTCTAGTGAAGGGCTGGGCCTTGGAGTGTGGCAAGCAGGCACTGGGAGCAAGGGTCAGCAGGTGACAGGCGAGCAGGGCAGCCAGGGCCCAGAAGCACCATCCCATAGCCCATCCTGGGTCAGAAAGACACTGAGGAAGGAAGAGCTGGAAAGGAGTGGCAATATTCTGAAAATGCTGCCACCTTGTGTCTGCTTTGGAGATCTGAAAACCTACACTCCAGACTCCCACACCGAAATAGTAACTGGAGTTTGCACCGTGGTCCAGTGCCTTGCTATGAAACAACCACTAGAAAGTGAGAGTTAATTGTATGGCTTGAGGTGGCTTGTGTATCAATTTGCAATCTAGTTAGCTAGCTACAGCAGTTACTTGTGTGGCCCCATTACTGTAGTGTCTGAGCTTATCTATATAGTAGTATGGCAATGTGCATAATACTCCAATAAATTAACCAGTCACAACTGGGTAAAATGAATAATTTATCTTTGTATCTTTAGCATCCATAGCAGGGCTGGATGCAACTCTGAGAAGAAACTGGAACTGGATGGATTCCACTGATAGCCAAGCCAAAAAACTCATTGCTGTATATTCTTCAGAGGAGAGGCCAAGGGAGTTTGGTTTGGTTTGTTGAATTATTTTTTAACCTAAAAGGTCAGTTTTAACCTAAAAGGTCAGACTCATCATTTTTTTAATTCAGTGCCTAAACAGATTGTTCAGATCTGTATGTTTCCGTTGCAAACATTCTGTACTACATTAGTTTAATGGCACAGTCACTATGAATTACAAACTTCCTCTGCTCCCCCCTGTGCTGATGAAACATGGCAACATAAGGAACATCTGTTCTGTTACCCTTTGCTGGAAATGGGAAACATCATATTGCATTTTTATTAGACTTATTTGGATGCCACTGGGTTTTTTCTAAACACATCAAAGAAGCTGAATAACCTTAATTGAGTACCACAGAAAAAGCATGGTTTCATGCAAATACAGCTGCCAACATAATTATTAGGACAATACTGAGCTTCTATTCCTGAAATCTGTTCCATTTCTATGGTTTTTCTATTGCTCCCTTGCTGCTGAATCTCATTATAAACATCTCCACTCAAACCAATCTACAGCTCTGCCAACATAGTTAGACAGTAAACAAGTTAAGTCCTTAATTGTTGACATTAAGAATCCGAATAAACCTAAGGATTAGTATGTGTGCTGAACCTTTTATTTATGTAGGAAATTAATCACCTCCTCCTCTCTAGCAACACAAGTGCACTGAAAGTAGCACCAGGAACTACCTCCGATAGCTAAATTGCTGTTTTATCAACAAATTTAAACAGCCCCCAAGATTTCTATTACAGTTTAGTTAAAGGCAACCGATTTCTCTTGTTCCTTTGGATGGTTGCTTGAGCCAGGTCTTCCTGCATCTGTAAACAGAGGCAATGTGCCCAGAATTAATTACCTTGGATTCATTCCTATTATGTGACCAAGCACACCACACGCAGCAGTTAATCAGAGTACATCCATGCAACCTCTAGCCTACCCAGCACATAGAATCATTTCATTATTTAAACTCATTGGGAGTTGAAATTTATGGTACTACTCAAGGAGCAAGGTAAGGGAGTATGGGTGACAGAATCTGTCCCTTAGATTTTTTCCAGTGCCTTTTTAGAATGCTAAGTACTTTGTGTATCATAAAACTAACTGTACATTCATTAGTAACCACAAAACCACTAATACTGTACCTAATTCTTAATCTTAATGAACCCTAACGAAATTGTAATGTCTCCCCACTTGAAATTCCTTGCATGATGTGCCCTAAACATTCCAGAAAATGTTTACCCTGGGATGGCATGTAACATTTCTCCTTTATTTGTTTGCTTTGCAGAAGTTAGGTAAAGACTGAAAATCAGGCTCCTAATATAATCTAGCTTCAACCTTAACTATAGAGGGATTGTTGTACCTCCCTGATTCATTAGCTTTTTATTTCTAGACACTTGCCAAGGTTCAAATCTACCTTAGGTCACTCATGAAATACGTTCGGTCTCAGTCTAATTGCTAGAAGACATCTGTTCATATCACAAAACAAATGGATATAAAGTCTCATGAGTAACAGTTTCTCTCTAAGAAAATCAGACTGCAAGAATAGCAGAGGTTTTGGAGGTCAGGATTGTGTTGTATCAGCAGACCTTCTGTAGGGAAGTTTACATAGCACGTGCCTGCACTGTCTGGCTCTCTCCATCTTCTTCATAACATTTACTCCAAATTTAAAAAGAAACAAAGGTCAATGGAACAAATTTATTCCTGGCTCCACTAAAGTCAATAGAGTAGAAAAGTTTGGCCCTATATCTGCATTGGGAAGAGAAAAGAGAACAGTAATTTAGAAGGTGTTTTAAGGTTATTTTAATATAATTGGATGGAGCGATTTGTAGTGAATGATTGCATGCAACTCTGCTCTGAGAATGTCAGAGACAAGGTGCGTGAGGTAATATTCACAGAGCTGCTCTTCAGGTCTGAGAAAGGTCTGTGGAGCTCAAAAACGTGTCGCTCACTAACAGAAGTTGGTCTGATAAACCGTATTACCTCACCCACTTTGTCTCTCTCATACCCTAGGACCAACACTGCAAATAATTTAGCAGTCTAGTCACAAAGAACACCGTTTTTGCTGTTACTGAAACTTCTCTCAGGTCTGTGTGTCTGTTTCTCTTTTTCTCTCTGTTTCTTGTAAATTTCACAAAAGTTTATCAGCCTAGATTACTCATTACAGAATGGAGATTTATCCAGCACATTTTAAAATGGGATGTGTGTGTGCATGTGTGTGTGTGTGAATTTGAAGTAGTGCCTCATTTGTTTTATATAAATGTACCTAACATTTGCTTTATCTTTCTCCTGAACCTTTATCACATGTCCTTATGTTGCTGCACTGGTCACCTGATTAGCACGATATAATCCTCTACTAATCTCTCAGATATATTTATATGTCTGGATGGGGCCCATACCACACTCCTCACAATTAAAACTAAGACAGAACCTTCTTCAAACTGAAGCCATGACTGAGTTTTCAGATGAGTTGATATAAGCAGTGTTAAAAGAACGGCACACTTAACCAAAAGGAGCCTGAAAATAAAATAGAGAATGAGAACTATCATGTTGAAGAAAGTTTATGAATGAACAGTTTATTCAGAGTTTTGTTTGCTGTATTATATTTTATTTTAGTAAGATAATTTTTAGTAATTTTTCAGAGATTTGCAGATGTTTGACTGTTTTGTGCTTTGCTAAGTTTTCTGAGACTCTGATTTATTATTAGTAAATATACGTAGTATTCGGAGTGTGGTACTCCCAGAATCCTAGCCCAGTGTTTATTCTACGTGCAGGCAAAAGCAGCACTTTTCCATTTGATACCGTATTTTCCTCACAACAACATTCGGCTCTATCGTGAAATGCACATGGACCTAAGCCCCATTGGTTTTTAAAACCATGATAAAATGTTTTATGGATCAGAGAGGAAAGTGCCAACCTAGGCAAAGCACCCCCTCATGTGCCTAGACACTAAACTGGTGGACGATCACCAAGTCTGAAATCTTTCCATGATGATTCATGTCTTAAGGACAAATATGAGGCCCTTACACAGTTTTAACCCAGACAAACTCCAAGTAATTTCAATGTGAGTTTATCTGAATTAGGACTGAATAAGGGGCTTCAGGGTTTATTTCTTAAGACAAGATCATCACTTGCTTTACTTGCAAATGCAGGGCACCTCCTTACTTCCCTGTTCCAACTACTTGTCCTAGGGCTCAGTGCACCAGTGCCACCAGTCTCCTCTGGGCTGCTTCTCTCTCTCCCAGGCATGAGAGTGGGTAGGACTCTGCCCCCACACAATGGACCAGTCGCAACAGCTGAGATGATTCATAGGGGGAAGTAACCCATTGCATATGTAGACCAGTAAGAGATTACTCTTCCCTTCCCCTCCCCCACAAAATGGGAGGGAACAGGAAATGAATTACAATTCTCAGAGTCAGAGTTCCCATCCTGGTTTGCTTCTGGGACAGCAAAGAGCTACACATTGCCCCTTACTCAGGGCAGAATGTTAAACCACAGCCTAGCGCATAGTTAAGTATATTATGTCTGTTGCTTTTTGTTCCCCTTGAATTTCTATCTAGTGTTCCTGTTAGAACCTAATGCCAGTTTCAGCTGAGTTCTGTTATTACTTTATTGTAGAGAGACAGTGTTGTCTATTGGTTAGGGCAAGTGACTGCCTCAGATCTTTTGGATTCTTCTAGTTCATCACCATGGGATCTCCAGGCAAGGCCCCCAATCTGTCTCCCTTTACGTTTTCTCCACAATGGGTACAATCATAATAATAAATAATATCAGGGGTTTGGAGAGACTTCAGCAATGACTGTGAAATGGATTGTGAAAAGTGCTAGAGAAATTGGGGAAAAATCAACAAAAACATTTTTTTTAAAAAAAATCATGCATCCATAGTGCAAGTGAGAAGCCTGTCTTTTCTTCTCATTCATTTTCTCCCTTCTTTAGTTTCTGTTTTCTCTTAATTCCCTTATTTCCCCCCCTTTCTTAATTTCGCCACTTAGTTAATTAAGCTTTCTCTAGGCTTGCAAACTTTTGGTTTCATAAGGTGAACTTGTTTACTAGGCAGGTTTTCCCAAACTCTCCCACTGCCAGTAATTAAGGGATTAGCATCATTACATCACTGGTGGAGATATTGAATGTTATTGCTCAGGCTGAACATACCCACGTTGCTTTCTGTTCATTGACGCTCAGTAGGCTGGGGCTGAGCTCTGCTCTAAATCAGTACAATGCCATGAATGTCAGCTTTCTTACAATGGGCGCTTTTGTATTCCAGAAGCTTTTCGTACCTTAATCCAACCCGATGCAAGCAATACATGCAACACGGTACAGGTACAACTTAAGCAGCTGCATTAAAAAAACAAAACATAAAATGAAGTGAACATGGCAGTTTAAATTGTTTAATAAGCTGTGGGCCAGATCATCAGGCATGGTCAAATGGCACAGAAAGCAAGTCAGTGCTTAATGTTCTCCTTTTCACTGTCCTGCCTGTTCTTCGCATGCTGTATTAGAGCAGTCTAAGGGCTGTTCTAACTTACGCTGGCTTGCAAAGGACACAGGAGGCCAAAACATACACCAGGATCATCAGGCTGTCCTGACCACGCCCCCTTTTCTCTACTAAGCTCGTAGCAGAGAATTGTGTGGTTAGGGTGGGTAAATCAGCTCTACAAAAGGGTTCCCTTTTGGTTATGTTAATCCACTCTGTGCCAGGGAGGCTGGGTTACAGCCAAAGAACTCCAGCTGTGCAGCACACAGCAGCCATACCAGACTTGAGGATGAGTACTTGTGGCACCTTAGAGACTAACAAATTTATTTGAGCATAAGCTTTCGTATGCTCAAATAAATTTGTTAGTCTC